TTATTAAATGACCCAATAAATACAAAAACTTCCTCTTGAAATACTATCATATATGAAAGTAATGCGTCATATTAATAAAAAAGCAATTGCTTTTTCAAAACCTTTTCTCAAATTTTGAAAGTTTCTTTATACAAGTTGATGTCAAATTTGTGAAAATTTGAGAAAATACAAAAACCTTTTTTAATCATATGACCCAATATTTAAAGGCACGGCTGCAAACCGGTTCTGTATCGGGTTTTGAACCGAACCACTGCTGTGAAACCCAATCAACTTTCATATAATAATAGATATGCAAGTTGGAAGTAGCTCAAAAATTTCCCTGAATTTTCCTTTTTTTGCTTAGAGGGTGTTGATCAATTTCTTCCATAAAATACAAAAAAATAAATATATACATTTTGCATTTCTCTTTCAAAAAAAATCGGAAAACTTAGAAAAATGTTTGAGCTAGCTCCAACCTTCACAATATTATTCTTTAGTCGGTTGGCTGTAAAAATGGTCGCTACAGAATTTAAAACTCAAAATTTAATAATGCTTTCCTTTATTGCAGATTGATATTGACTTCAATGCTCTACATCAGAATTGCTCACAGCTAACAGAGAAATGGCAAGGTTTTAGAACAAAAATTATACCAATTTTGAATAAGAGGGTAAAGGATATTCAAAATCTTCAGCACTTAAAAAAAGTTAATGAGATTGATAAAGGTTTGTTAACATTGGTAATAATAAGATTAAATGATTTTTATAATAAATATACTTTTATTAAAGGTTCAGATCAACTTATAGCACGTTGTACTACGACCTAATATAAAGCGGAAGGCAGGTGACAAAACGATTTTTAGAAGTACTATCAAAGATTCTCAGCTCTCGTTTTTACTACAAGTTAGTACTGTGAACGATGTCGAAAATAAATTGGATAATCTGAAAAAATCACTCTATGCACGCGGTGAGACATTGCAACCACTAATTATCGCAATTGGCAGTGATTTAAGTAATTGCAAATTTTATGTTTACTATGACGACATTAAGTATGAGCTTCCTTCATTTTTAAGCGCTTTAGACATATGTTTTAAGACTTTCCATGTATTACATTTAAAATATCCACAGGATAGCATTGAGTTTTGGACGTTTGTCCAAAGATATTTTTATTCCATTGAATTGACTGAAGATAAAACTTCTCCAAATGTCCTTTGTTTGCTGAGGGACTTAATTTAATTTATTAAGTATAGATACGTAGTCACATAAATCTTAACACCTTCAATATTCAATAATAATTATTAAATATTATATATGTAATAGTTATTATTTTTTTGTTTAAGATGGTTTTGTGTTTTGTATGCAACAACAATTTTGAAGATGTTGATATACTCGTAAATCATCTAAAAAATTTTCACAATTTAACATCATCTAGTACTTTTTACTGTCTACATTGCTGCCATTATTATCAGTGCTTGCGAACTTTTAAAAGCCACTTTAAGAAAGCGAATTCATGCATTTCTAATATAATTCCAAATGTTCAGAGTCTTAGTGAATCCGAAAATAATAATTTTCCACCACAATTAAACCAACGGCAATGTAATCAAGAACGTCAAGAAATATACGAATTTTGTCATGCTGAGTTCGAAAATATTGCGCTACTATTTTTGAGTAAATTGCACAGTCAATCAAATTTCGCTCGATCTGATGCAGAACGACTAATTGATGATATAACAAATGATTTGCTTTTGCCAATAGCACACTTTTTAGAAAATATTATATTCGATTTTGCAGAACAAGAAAAAGTCCAACTCAGAAACTTAGTTTCGTTTTTAAGAGATCCCTTTTCAAAAGGTAAAACATATTACAAATTTTTAAAGGAACTCAAAATGAGAAAGTGCTTTGAAGACCCACAAGAATTCGACATTGATAATAGAATTGCGCCCGTAGTTCATCACCATGCAATTTCGTTAACAGAGCAACACAGTAAGGGTGTACTCATGCCATTACGATTTCAAATTAAACATTTCTTCGAACTTCCTAATGTATTAAAAGATACTTTGGAAAATACACAGATATTCCTTGCAAATGATAATGAATTAAAAAACATTGTTAATGGAAAATTATGGAAATCTAAAATCAGTTTATTCAGCGATAAAACAGCAATTCCTTACGTTATTTATTTTGACGATTTTGAAATTAATAATCCTTTGGGTTCCCACAGAGGGACACAATCAATAGCTGCTTTTTATTACAGTTTCCCTACTTTGCCGCAGCACTACCAATCGCGACTAGAAAATATATTCCCTGCTCTTTTCTTCAGAAGTAAACATAAACAGTTTGGAAATGACGCATCATTGAAATTACTGGTAGAAAAAATTAAAAGTCTTGAAGAAGAGGGAATTGACATTAGCTTTGATAATACAACCAAAAAAATTTATTTTGTACTAGCACTAGTTGTGGGTGATAACTTAGGTTTAAATAGTATTCTCGGCTACACTAAAAGCTTTTCATCTAATTACTTTTGTCGATATTGTTTATGCAATAAAGAAGAAACTTCGTACATGGTCGAGGAAATAGAGAGCAAACTTCGGAATGAGTTAAACTATACAGAAAACCTTGCTACAGAAGATATACCAGAGAAGCGAATAAAGTTAACTGGTATATCTGAGAATTCCATTTTCAATGACATTAATTCATTTCATGTGGTAAATAATCTTACCGGGGATATTATGCATGATATTTTTGAAGGTGTTTGCCGATATGACGTTTCGAAAATATTACTCCATTTTATTGAATCCGAAAAATTGTTTACAATTGAAATTTTAAATGATCGAAAAAATCAATTTCAATACGGTGAAATTGAGTTAAGTAATAGATCTCCAGAAATTCAAATATCACATTTGAAATGTCAAAAACTTAATATGTCAGCACGAGAAATGTGGACATTTTGCCATTTTCTTCCAATAATAATTGGGGATTTAATACCACTACACAATAAACATTGGAAACTTTTTTGTACATTAATTGAAATTATAGACGAGATTTTAAAAACAGAGTTCGACGATGAGTCCCTTAATAAATTAAAGTTAAAAATTAAGAACCATCACACGATTTACGTACAACTATTTGGCCCGACGTTAAAACCGAAATTTCACTTTCTACTTCATTACGCTACAATCATAAAAAATGTAGGACCTCTTAAGCATGTATGGTGTTTTAGGTTCGAGTCCAAGCATAGAGAGATTAAATCGTATAGCAATTGTATTACCTCTAGAAGGAATGCACCTTTGTCAATCGCTGTTAAATGTATGATAAAGTTTTCAAATCGGTTACTTTTGAATAAAGGATTAGATAGAAACTTATTTTTCGAAAACCAATCTAAAGAAAAATTTAAAAACAGATATTACAGTAAAAAAGTAAATATAAGTTCTTTTGAATGCGAAATATTAATAAATGAAAGCTACAATTTTATAACAAAAGTGGAAATAAAAGGTACTACTTATAAAATTGGATATTTCCTGATGTCAAAATCTTTGAAATTATTTGAAATCAAAGACATTATTGTACTTGAAAACAACAAAGTAATTTTCGTATGTGTTGAACACACAATTGCAATGTTTTCAGAACATTTTCAGTCATTTTCAATTATAAAAAGTACAGACCAATTTTATCTATTGGACTTTTCTGAATTATATTATTCACCTCTTAATACAACTCTTTCCCCTAATGGAATTACGTATATTCGTCCAAAGTTTTTTTGAAACTATACATGTATAAATTTTATATATATTTATATCTTTGTCTTAATTTACAATAGTAAAACACATAAAAATATGTACTTATTAAATTAAAAGTAATAAATAATAATAAATTTATTTAAAATCAATGTTTTTTTAATCACTTCTTTTTATTTTAGCAAAGGAACTATTAAAATGGTAAGTGGACAACTTTTGGAGGTAAAAAAATAGTAGTTTTACCATTTTTATAGTACAAAAACTATTTTCCATAGTAAACTAACTATTTTTCATGGTAATAAAACTATTTTCATGGTAAAGTAACTATTTTTAATGGTAAAAAAACAATTTTTCGTGGTACACGAACTATTTTTCATGGTTAAAAAACAATTTTTTGTGGTACACGAAATATTTTCGTGGTACACGAACTATTTTCGATGGTAAGCTAACTATTTTTAATGGTACCCGAACTATTTTCACGAACTTTCATAATAACAATTTTTTGTCGGTTTGATTTACAATTTTTTTCGGTCACTGCAATTTTAATCGTCTTTTTCGGTTAGATTTACCTCTCTTTTTCTTTGTGTGTAGTAGCGACAATTAAGCACTGGGCAAGTGCAGATAGCGGTACTCAA